CACCCGCCTGGGCTAGTGCAGACATCGTGGACCTCGTCCACAATCTCCGCACTAGGCACAGGAAAGTGGCCGTCTAGGGCAGGAGAGCTGCCAGCCTGGCCACCCAGGAGCAAGTGTGCATGAGAATCAAGGGAGTCCAGTGAGACCCCCCGACCCTGAGCCCTGAGCTTACAATGGCCGTCCTGGGTCAGACCAAAGGTCCATCTAGCCCAGTAGCCTGTCTGCTGACAGCGGCCAACTAAGTTAGTTTGAATTAACGTTGTAGTGTAGACATACCCAGAGAGAGAGAGAATATACAGGAATGGGAGGAAAGCAATTGCTTTCAGCTGCCTCCTTGTTTCTATAGTACAACAATTTTCACTATATCTCTATCTCTAGTGCAGTATTTATTGCAGCTGGTTTGTGCACTTTCCACTCCCTTTTCCTCAGAAGCGAGATCCCGTGGCAACACATCTCCAAGATCTTTTGCAGAAAAAATTTCTCTCATGTTAGTGTGAAATGAAACCCCTTTATTTGATGTCTGAAAGATTATCTGGTGTTTAGTTGGAAAATCTCAGAACAATTATCAAGGGATTTGTTTCTCTTTATTGCAATAGCAATAGGCAATGCCTTCAGGGGGTGACTCACTATAGGAGTAGTAAAAGAGGCAATAGCATTATACAGTGTTATGGTAGGAAGAAGCTACTGTCCTTCCATCAGTTCAATATAATTTCTTGGTGAGGTTTGACTATGTCTGCACAAGGAAAGAATGTGTCACAGAGTTGCTGTCTTTTTATATCATGCAGGCTGTTGCATTTGCATGGCAAAGGAGAAGTGGTGATTGCCAGTGACTTGTTATAGTTTGAACTATTCAAAGTTTCACGATTGAATTGCAATTCTCTCCCCCACGATTATTGAAACAAATATTTGTTTTTGACTGTTACAATTGTCATTGTCTAATTCCTATGATATGGTGAATTTTCCCCCCCTAACTCTGCTTTCAGCATTGCATGCTGCTGCCCTTTCGGGCCATGTCAACACCGTGAAATTGCTGTTAGAATATAGCGCACAGGTAGATGCATCTGATGTAATGAAGCACACTCCGCTTTTCCGAGCCTGTGAGATGGGACACAAAGAAGTGATACAGACACTCATTAAAGGTCAGCTGTCATAAATTTACAAATCCATTCATGGAGTTAAAATGTTGTTGTAGGTAGATTGTAAAATAAATGGCATTTCGGGGCAAAAAGAAGAGCTCAAAATTAGTTCAGTAGGGAATGATTAATGTATGGTGCATTTCATAGAACAGTAAGTAGTATACGTAAGTTGGACTTCCCTGGCTCAGTATCATCCAGAGGCTGACTGATCTTGAACAAGGGAATTTGTCGAACCGAGGGAGGTCAATTTTGGGCCTTCTGCTGCCAGCCTCCGGGCTCTCCTGGGGAGCCACCAGCCTCTCTGTTGGGTCCTTCTGTTGGCTCCGCTATTGGCTCTGGCCCACCACCTAGACTTCCTTCCCCCTGGCCCTGACCCACTAGCGGGCTTGGTTCCTCACTGCCAGCCCCCTGGACTGGCTCCACTCCCAGCTGTCAAAAACCTCTGCCATTGGACTTCCAGAGAGATTCAAGCTGTGAATAAGAATGATTTGCAGTGCATTGAGAGAAGACAGAAAAACAACCTCCTGTCACCATAATTCTCTTCAAGTACCCTTTAATCTCCTAAAATCTCACAGTATTTTTTTCTCTTTCCTATAAATGAGATCAATTTAAATTTTATTTATGATTGATGAAATGGGTTCAGTAACTGTCTTTGAACATTTAAATGGCTTATATGTTAAAGAACAGCTGTATCGGAAACTTTTCTGCTATCATTACTTTTATATGTTTTTTCCTGTGACTTTTTATCGTAAACAAAATTTATTTTTTAGAAAAGTTTAGAAATAATAGAAACTACAAAAGAAAATCGTAACTACACAGATATATCATTTTAGCTGCCAGCACTTATAGAAACATTGCATTTAATCTACACTAGGGATGTTATTGGTTAAACAGTAGGGGCTGGAGCAGTCTTCCTGCTTGCTGTAGGCAGGGGCGCTCCAGCCCATCCAAAGCAGCCCATGTCTGTGGTGGGGGAGCTGCTCCAGCCCATCCACAGCAGGTGGTGCTCCCCTTCACCATTTAATTGGTTAAGCAGTTAAATTTAATGTTTAACCAGTTAACCAATTAAACAAGATTTTACATCCCTAGTCATAAGCGATCTCTCTCCTGCCATCCATCTCCACCCTCTGGCAAACAGAGGCTAGGGACACCATTCCTTACCCATACTGGCTAATAGCCAGTAATGGACTTAACCTCCATGAATGTACCTAGTTCTTTTTTAAACCCTGTTATAGTCCTAGCCTTCACAACCTCCTCAGGCAAGGAGTTCCACAGATTAACTATGCTCTGTGTGAAGAAGAACTTCCTTTTATTTGTTTTAAACCTGCTCCCCATTAGTTTAATTTGGTAGCCCCTAGTTCTTATATTATGGGAACAGGTAAATAACTTTTTCTTATTCACTTTCTCCACACCACTCATGATTTTATATATCTCTATCATATCCCTCTTTGGTCTCCTCTTTTCCAAGCTGAAAAGTCCTAGTCTCTTTAATATCTCATCATATGGGACCCGTTCCAAACCCCTAATCATTTTAGTTGCCCTTCTCTGAACCTTTTCTAATGCCAGTATATCTTTTTTGAGATGAGGAGACCACATCTGTATGCAGTATTCCAGATGTGGGTGTACCATGAATTTATATAAGGGCAATAAGATATTCTCCATCTTATTCTCTATCCCTTTTTTAATGATTCCTAACATCCTGTTTGCTTTTTTGACTGCCGCTGCACACTGCGTGGACATCTTCAGAGAACTGTCCACGATGACACCAAGATCTCTTTCCTGATTAGTTGTAGCTAAATTAGCCCCCATCATATTATATATATAGTTGGGGTTATTTTTTCCAATGTGCATTACTTTACATTTATCCACATTAAATTTCATTTGCCATTTTGTTGCCCCGTCACTTAGTTTGGTGAGATCTTTTTTAAGTTCTTCACATTCTGCTTTGGTCTTAACTACCTTGAGCAGCTTAGTATCATCTGCAAACTTTGACACCTCACTGTTTACCCCTTTCTCCAGATCATTTATGGATACGTTGAATAGGATTGGTCCTACGACTGACCCTTGGAGAACACCACTAGTCACCCCTCTCCATTCTGAAAATTTACCATTTATTTCTACTCTTTGTTTCCAGTCTTTTAACCAGTTCTCAGTCCATGAAAGAATCTTCCCTCTTATCCCATGACAACTTAATTTATGTAAGAGCCTTTGGTGAGGGATCTTGTCAAAGGCTTTCTGGAAATCTAAGTACACTATTATCTACTAGATCCCCCTTGTCCACATGTTTGTTGACCCCGTCAAAGAACTCTTAATAGATTAGTAAGACATGATTTCCCTTTACAGAAACCATGTTGACTTTGCCCAACAAATTATATTCTTCTATGTGTCTGACAATTTTATTCTTTACTATTGTTTCAACTAATTTGCCCGGGACTGACGTTAGACTTACTGGTCTGTAATTGCCGGGATCACCTATAGAGCCCTTTTTAAATATTGGTGTTACATTAGCTATCTTCCAGTCATTGGGTACAGAAGCTGATTTAAGAGATAGGTTACAAACCATAGTTATTAGTTCCGCAATTTCACATTTGAGTTCTTTCAGCACTCTTGGGCGAATGCCATCTGGTCCTGGTGACATGTTACTGTTAAGTTTATCAATTAATTCTAAAACCTCCTCTAATGACACTTCAATCTGTGACAAGTCCTCAGATTTGTTACCTACAAAGGATGGGTCAGGTATGGGAATCTCCCTAACATCCTCAGCCATGAAGACTGAAGCAAAGAATTCATTTAGTTTCTCCGCAATGACTTTATCATCTTTAAGTGCTCCTTTTGTATCTCGATTGTCCAGGGGCCCGACTGGTTGTTTAGCAGGCGTCCTGCTTCTGATGTACTTAAAAATATTTTGTCATTACCTTTTGAGTTTTTGACTAGCTGTTCTTCAAACTCCTTTTTGGCTTTTCTTATTACATTTTTACACTTAATTTGGCAGTGTTTATGCTCCTTTCTATTTACCTCACTAGGATATAGTCTACACACATTTTTCCTCTTTGGCTTTTGTGGAAGCAACGAGTTGTGGATATAAAGTGGTCAGGGCTATCTGAATCTATGAATCATTATAATTGTATTATTATACAATTTAAGTTGTATCAGACCAAGCATATTATTGGCTTTAACCAAACCAATTTTGGTTTGGTTATAGCCAAAGTTTGGTATATTTTGTGGGTGTTTTATGGTTTCTCACCGCATTTTTAACTGTTGTAAGAGCACCTTGAATTTAATTTGGGTAAAAAAAAAATTACATGCTTGAATAAAGAGAAAGGGAATTCTGTAAAAGCTCATGACAATGTGGTGATTCTAGTGGTAAAAGTTTGAAAAGCACTTACGTCCAATTTTCAAACATGACTTAGGCACTTAGAAGCCCGTATCTCATGAAAAGTCAAAAGTATTCAAATGCGTAAGAACAAGATTTTCAAAGTTACTTGGGCACTTAAAGATATAGATAGACACCTACTGGGATTTTCAAAAGCACCTGAGTAGGTTGGATGCCTAACTCCCATTGAAAGCCCTAACCACCCAAATCACTTTTTAAAATCAGCTTCTAAGTCATGTAGGAGTTTTTGAAAGTATTACCCATAGTCTTTTGTTTATCAAAGGTGTTGCAAGCTGACATAAGCGTAATCTCCCATTTCTCTTATGTGCAAAAATACTTTGGTGTTTTTATTGCTGATGTTCAAATGTTGTTTTGCTATTACAGGGGGAGCAAGAGTTGATTTGGTTGATCAAGATGGCCATTCTCCTCTTCACTGGGCAGCTCTGGGTGGAAATGCTGATGTATGTCAAATTTTGATAGAAAATAAAATCAACCCAAATGTGCAAGATTATGCAGGTAGAACTCCTTTGCAGTGTGCTGCATATGGGGGCTATATTAACTGCATGGTCGTGTTATTGGAAAATAATGCAGATCCAAATATTCAAGATAAAGAGGTATGTTGTCCTTCACTGTGTCATTTAAGTTGTCTCAGACCAAGCATAAATTGAAAGTATCTTCTGGTTATTCTTTTCTTTTCTGCAACAAGGTGGTATTAATCCTTGTCTTTTCATCCAGTGATATGATGAATCTGTATTCACTGCTATTGTAGGGGAAGGAATAGCAGTCCTAAGACTACTTTCCCTGTGTATTTCACATTTTTAGGGCTTGAGCAAAAACTATTATTTTAATATGCAGAATAAACTGAAGATACAAATTTTCCATATTGTCTTTGGACTTTTCCATATAAAGCTAATATCTTAAAATTATCCTTTAAAATATATTTTACTTGTTTTCTTATTTAAATATTTAACAATATTTTGTAATCTATGCTGTGTCGCTAGCCTATGTTAGTAAGGATAGAGCAAGTGATATACAGCAAATTTAATGAAGGAACTGCAGCAATTTTTTGTTTGTGTGAAGCTCTTAAGAGTAAAGGAAAACCTTACAGTTTTTGTATGTTCCTCTGCTCCCTCCTGTAGGTGCTAAATGAAACTTGGTGATTTTGTGTTCTAGGACGAATTGTCTGTTGCTGTGAATTGGCACAATTCCATTGGAGTCAATAGAATTGTACCAGTTTATACCAGCAGCGAATTTGTTCCAGTATATTAACCTTTTACCTCACTGCTTGAGAAATAAACACTCATCTCACAGTCAGTGTAATGTAACTTGCCGCAGAGGTTTCCTGTTTGGAAAGTCTACTTACTGTGGCCTAAAATTTGGTGCTGCAGTGTTCTGACAAGGATGTTCTCTAGGTATTACTTGCGGGCCAGATCGTGGACCTTGGTTTCAGATGATTTTTGTTACATCAGTAGTTCACAGCAGCTGGAAAGTTACCCTAAAAGACAGCTGAGGATTCTCCTGACATGAGATAAGCTTTGGGAGGCTTAGAACTGGCACAGAAGCCTCTGTGCCAACTGCTCCCCATGTCTCTTATACAGGCAGAATGTTGAGAGTCTGCCGAAGGTGGAGCACTGTGCACTCTGCTGCTACACTGATTCATGGCTCTACAAGACTACATTTACTGGTGTGGTTTATCTTGGGGCCTTAGACCAGTCTAAATTACAGATGCCTGTTATGGTCCCAATTGGTCCATGAGTGCAGGAGCAGAAATAAGGCTTAGAGCCAGATTTCCTTCTTCTCTTCTTAGCATCACAGAGTGCAGATTCTTCACAGCTGAAAATTTGTACCTGATCTAGTTTTAAAAATCTTATTGGTGATTTTTCCATGTAAATTCTCTTTTTCAATGGACAGGATGCATTTATGACCAAACAAGTGACGCCAAATGTCCATTTGAGCCCTGAATGACAATACCATATGCTATTTTTCTTTTGAAAATATAAAGCAGCTATTAAACTTTCTTATTCATATATTTTTTATTTTTTATTTATAGGGAAGGACTGCTTTACATTGGCTGTGTAACAATGGCTACCTTGATGCTATAAAGTTGCTGCTGGGTTTTGATGCATTCCCTAATCACATGGAGAACAATGAAGAGAGGTATAGGTTATTAAGCATATTATCTTTTAATTTAGCAAATCTGCTTGGTTCTGCTTTGTATGTCACATGTTCAGATATTTATTGTCCGAGAAACATGAGCTTAAACATGTGTAAGAACACTGGTCTAAGCGTGGGACTGAACAGTAGTTAAAGTATGCTGTTGAAGACATTTGATTTTCGTATAAGGCTGTTCAAACTCTGTTCCTCTCCTAGCTTCACTGGGTTTGTATGTGTGATCCTTAATCCCACATTGAGATATGTTCTACTTATAAATACACTGGCGCTGTTTCAGTTCCTTTGTTTCTTTTACTGTTTTAAAAGACAAGGAAAATAAATTTTAAAATACTTCTATTAATAGAGAACTATAATTAAGAACATAAATGCTCAATCCCAGAAGCTGAAGAGTTAAGGCAGCAACAACATTCCAGTAAGTCAGCCACATTGCACCTACAGGTGACCCGCGACTTACAACCACCTGACCTACGACCCCCTGCACTTACGACTGCCTTGCTCTGGTCCCCGGCACAGCCCAAAGCCGGCCCTGGGAGCACTCGCGCTGTGCCACCTTCCTCTTGCACAGCCCCCAGCCGGTCCTGGGAGCAGCTCACGCCATGAACTACAAGTCCTAGGAGGCAAAGCGGGCCAGGAACAGAACCCCCATTTTCATCATTGCACCTATGGGAGTTCAACTTATGACCGCTCGACTTACGACGGTTCTCCAGGAACCAATTAGGTCGTAAGTGCTGGGGTCGCCTGTACTATACATAGTAAGCCATACATTTAGGAGCATAAGCAAGAGTCTTCTAAATATAAATGCACTCCAGAATTGTGCGTATTTAAATATTCAACCTTAATGTTGCATTGATAAGTGATGCTATATTTGCATACATCAAATAGTGTGTCATACTGCCAAAATCTATCTAAACTGGGGATGAGTGAACCTTAAAAGGTGCTGAGCTCTAATTCGATTTTGATGGATTGACTTTCAGATATATGCACATGCACATGTTAAGGCATTTTTTTGTGGTGCTCTTATGGTAAGGAGGCATCCTTTTGTTCTTTTCTAGCAGCACCTTTGAAGGGAGGTTTAGCAGTTTCTCCCTTTGCACAAATTGAGAGACTTAGAGTTAATATTCAGAGCTCCAGAATATAAATAATTGCAACTTTAATATAATTTTAAATCTAACTACCAGTCTTCTAAAATTCAATTCTAAGTACTAGCTCCCACTGAAAACTAATTAATAAAACAAATTGGTTTTTCTAGACCAAACTTTTAGAAATAGAATGATCCTAAAAACTTTCAATAATGCCTTTTTAAAATAACAGACTGTCATAGAACATTATTTTCTGTGAAGAGATGGAACATTTCAGGAGCAAAGAAGACTTGAGAAAGGCAAATTGGAGACAGGAGAAAGTTAAAATGAGATCAGTGATTTTCTACAAATATAACTGTGACTCCTTCAAGTGCTGGTTCCCTTGTCTGTTCCACACAAGGGAACAAGTAGGCTCTGTGCTTTTTAGCATACGGCGTCCCTTGGTCCATTTCTGTGTAGTTGCTCTCCTCATAGTCCAAGCTGAGAACGTAAGAGGCTTTGTGGATCGACACCTGTCCAGTTCCTCTCTTACTGCTGGTCAGAAAGATTTGAAGTA